GTGTGTGTGTGTGTGTGTGTGTGTGAGAGAGAGAGAGAGAGAGAGAGAGAGAGAGAGAGAGAGAGAGAGAGAGAGAGAGAGAGAATTCTGGGTCAGCTTTTGTGCCTTTCAGGTTTGTTTGCGTAGAGCTCTTGCAGCGCAAAACATTACGAGCATCTTTCGCATAGGGAAGTGAAGTGTTGTGCTCAGTTAAGTCACTTGAACCATCAACCATAATTTGCATCAGCAGTAGCCTTCACATCGTCAACCATAATTTTTTAAAGCAATCATTTAGAAGCCGACCCAGAATGCTTTATTGCAGGGCAGGAATGGCAATTGTTAGACTAGCAATGTGTTGTTGTAAGCAATAGAGTGGCCTTGTCGTCACAACCTCTCACCAAAATAGCAAAAATTCAGGGAAATATGGCGCACAGTTTCGGTGAAAAATTTGCTGAAAATGACACCACCTATTAACCACGAGGGAACGTGTTGAGATTCAGCCTTTTGTTTCCGAAAAGAAAAAAGCAAATTATGGCACTTGTGAACTGGAGAAAGGCAGGCTTCGAAAGCCTCTAGTCAATTCTGTACTAGATGGGGTTCTGAATGTTCATTGGGGGTGCTTTGCCATTTGACCCCATCAGCACGTCGGATGTTCACTATTGACGCATCCACATCACGCAAAGAGCTCCCAAGTGCTTCACCTAATCTTGTCATGAACCTTGCACCTTGATGATGAACGGCCAAAAGAAGAAAAAATCATTCCCATACATGACTCTGCAAATGTGCGCAAGATGCCAAGGAACTCGCAACGTCCGTCGAGGAAAAGAGTATGAGCACACTAAGTGGACAAGAGATTGCACAAATTCCCCAACACTTCTACCCTCACATTTGGCTCCGATTGCGAGGCTCGCCAGAGCTTCTCTCAGCTGCTTCGATCAATCATTGTCATCATGCACTGGATTCGAATTCCGCTCCGCAGGATGAGAAAACGTGGGAGCAAGAATGAGCCCAGCTGATGCACGCCCGATGATGATCCGAGGCAATGCAAATTTCGAAGACCACCAACTCGAGGAAGAGGTGTAATGTGACACTGCGGAAGACTCAAATCAGATGGGACTGACCTGACAATGCAGCGAAATGGCACTGTGACCCCTCCGTCGGAGTCTGTCCGTCCTGCGCCTCTGCTGCATCCTGACCAGCTCGTATGTCCTCCTCTTTTCCCGAAGGCAACTATATTACCTCTGATCTGTACTTGGTGTCGTCCACTTGGTGCATCGTGTGTGTTCACTCAGGTCCACGAACATGGCAGAGTCCAGGCCCTCCCTGTATACTGTCACCCATCTGTGCATCAAGGTTTCTCGTGGGTGTGACATCTATATCGGCGAACAGTCTCAAACGAAGGTCATCGCTCCCTGTCCGACAGGTGTCTGCACCTCTGACACATCATCCGAAACACCTCGGTGGCTGGCGAGGTAGCTGGAGCCTGCTCGTCCAGCGAACTATCCTTCCCCTTGTCCTAGCATGCGGTGCAAGAGGTGGTGGTTCCTCATCAGAGTCATTGCCACTACCTTCACCCCCCCCCCCTTTGGTTGTTGGAGCGTGTTGGCGAGCACAAAGTGAAATCTCTCCCGTTTTGTATGCAAGCAGTACACCGGGGTACAATATCCCCACCACCCTCTCCTCAGTCCTTGTCCTCCTGTTGTCCGCCTGCAGTTCTCCTCCGCACCAACTCCGGGTTTGTCCCCTCCCTGTCATCGTCGCACACAACCTGCCGTCTCCTCCTCTTCCTCTCCCATGGGTGCAACGGTTTCCCATCAGGGAGGGTACGGGCGTAGGGTCGCAGCATGCCTACTGGAGGTGAGCAAGAAACTGGTTTGTGTGCCATCATATCCACCTGCGGGTGGCACCCGGCCACGGTGATGCCTGGAGGAGTAACTTCCTCAGGCTCAAGGGGCAACTGCGCGTCCTCGTGGAGCATGTCCTCACCGTGCTTCCAAGGGAGAACATACATGCGTCCCCTCCCCCCCCCCCCCCCCCCCCCCCCCTGCCTGCGCGAAAGTGGTTTAAGATTTTGTGGAAATCTTTTGACAAGCTAATGTAAGTTTGTTTTGCCTCTTCATGTGAATGCGCTCATGGGCGGCACAAATTGCATTCGGCCTCTGTACTGGACAGAGATTGTAAGCAAAGTATGCCGCATACAAAAACCCTGTGCACATTGTATGGAATGTTATCATGCCGAAAATTGAGCATGTGGACTGCTGACCCATTGATATAAGGCACTCGACCGGTGGTGGCCACGCACCTCTTCCCTCAGCTGCTCCCGGTCCAGTCCAAGCTGCTACTAGGGCTGCTGACCTTTCTGGCAGGAACATGATTGGGGACTATAACTACCTTCAGACCCTTCATACGTGCACCTGGACCTGGCCTAAATTCTGTCTGGTACCATCGTTATACCTTTCACTAATCCTTACCAGGTCCCTACAATTTCACCTACATGTTCCTGTTCATCTTATTTTGCTCAGAAGTCCAACTGCTCTCAAATTTCCGTCCTGCCCATGTGGTGCCTACGGCTATTCACAGCCCTGTACCTCCCCGAGGCGCAGCTCAACAGCACAGGCACAGGGTTGATATTAAGACATATGAAAGGCATTCATTCCTACATGGGCAAGCCAAAAACACTTGGACACTAATAGACAGTCCTTCGGGACATCCATTAAAATTGTATCGATACAGAGGAGATTAGCATGGCCCCTGTGCAAGGATGGCACACATAAATCGAAAAATGTACCGAGTTAAAAAAAAGGAAAAAAAGGAAAAAAAGGTATAAAAAAAAAAGGTAAAAAAAACACGTATGCAATAAATCGCAGTTTCCCAGTGGGGCTGTGCTGTACACTAAGTGTTTGGCTTTGTAGTTTGTTAAACTTTGTTTTCTTGTTTTGAGCCTTGCGGGATTTGATCCCGTGACCTGTAACTCGTGTGTTTTGTTTGTGAGTGCTGCGCCCTATGGGACTTGATCCCTGAGTCTGTCACTAGTAGTCTCGGCCTTTTCCTTTTGCCTTGTCATAGGTCTAGGTCCCCTTTTCCCCCTGTTTCCATCTAGATGCAGATGAGTCTTGGGTTGTTGCCTTTGGAGTCCGTCCTAGGTCTAGGCAGAGGGTAGAAGTAGCGGGCAGGAAATTTGGTTCCGGTCTTTTCTTGTTTCGGGCTGCTGGGGAAACTCTGCCCGTCCGTTGTTGGGGTACTGCTGCTCTATTTTGGGCGAGGTGGTCATCTTCTTCCTCGAAGCCCAGGCATAGCTGGGGTTGGGAAATGAAGTTGAAGATCGCACTGCTGCTATTTTGCAGCTCTGCATGAGAGCTTCCACAGGACTGTGTTGTTGGGTTTGGGCGCTGCCATTTTCCACTTGGCAGCCATATCTGCTGTTCCTCCTCACGAGGAGCCTCATCTTCTTCGAAGTGCTGGATCGGTTGTCTCCCCCTTCATCAGGACTTCCAGTGCTGCACTTCCATGTGGGCGCTGAGCTGGCGCTGCTATCATTGGGGTTGCTGGTTCAGATAGCATGTTGTGACAGCTGTGGGGTCACTGCTGTTATGGCAGCCATAGCCAGGGGTATGAGGTGGTGAGGAAGAAGAAGAAGACTCCTGCATGCATACTTCGTTGAACACTAGTTTTTGGTTGTTCGGGAATCGTTTTTTTTTTTTTTTTTTTTTTTTTACGCGGTTGTGATTCTTGGAACAAGTACTCTGCATTGATTGGAGGAGGACGAGGGATTGCAGAATTGAAATTCGTTTTTCAATTCTGTGCTAGGCTGGGCCGCCGCCCGGCCGGTTGGGCCCGGGGGGGTCCGCCCGGCGAAACCGGGCGATGCAAAAACACA